CTATCTATCTATCTATCTATCTATCTATCTATCTATCTATCTTTCTATCTATCTATCTATCATATTAAGCCCACTTTGGAGGGTCCTTTTAGGTGGATAAAGCCTAAACTTTCTAAACAATTCTTAAATTCAGCTTTCATTGAGACACTCAGAACAACTAGGCTTATATAGCACAAGACATGTTTCTTACTATAGTGCAGGGGTGGGGAATGATGGCTGTTTTATGACTTGTGGACTTCAATGTCTTCATGACTTATGGACCAACTCAGGAATTCTAGGAGTTGGTCCATAAGTCATGAAGATGCCATCGTTCCTCACCTCTGCCTTAGTGGATATTAGGTATTGTCCTCCTGCTGTACAGATTCCACTACTGTGGTGAAAACTCCAAGTAGAGGGAAGGAGTGAAGAGGTTGGCAGCTTTAGAGTCCTTGCAGGGCAGGAAGCGATGCAGACCAGAATTTCTCCCAAAGCCCTCACCTAGTTATTCCGAAGAGAATGTAGTCAGTCTGGTGAGATTCCTATAAATAGGTGAGCAGCAATACAGGAGTAACTGATCATGTCAATCCAGCCTCCCTCAGCAACCTAGAAAGAAACCACTTAACTCCATTTTGCAGAATTAAGAGTACTTTTATGAAAAGATAGTAGCTAAGCAAAGCAAGATCTGAGGCAAAAGCGCGCAAAATCATACATATCAATATGTGACCCAACCCCCTTCCCCTGGTAACCCCATCCCACAGTCCAATCTGCAAATCCCTTAGGTGTCATGTGAGTTCCATCTTCAAAGAGCAACATCAGGTTGGTATGCAGGGTGGTTGGCCTTGGCACCCCAATCACTATCTCCAGCATGCGCAGTAGATGGTGAGAACAAAACTCCCTTTTTACTATCTTTCCTGTACTTAAAACTTCCCTTCCCAAATACCAGCCTCCCCCCTCCCCGTTTCAATGGCAGCTGAAAGCAAATAGCGAAACAGAGGCTGACAGATCATCTCATGATATTCTGGCTCTTTGCTCCGGACAATTATTTGGCCAATTCACCTATAAATCAGATTTGTACATTGTTGTTGCTTATAATTATGGTTTCGATTACATTTTAGTTATTCTTGGTTGGAGTTATAGACAAGTATGATTATTCGATGTTTGCCTGGTCCCTGCCTTTATTGGTGGCGTAAATCATGTTAAAGATATTTGATGTTATCTAACTGAATTGTCTTTATATGAATGAATGGATCCATTTTGTCTGAAAAAAGCCAGGGGTTGCTAGATAGAGAAAACTTGCATTAGAAGCCACCAATGTAGGTAATTAGCAAACAACTCCTAATTTCACTTTTTCTTCAGTAGGTGACTGAGCAGATGGTAGCCTTTTTGCTCTAGGGGTTTTGTTTTTATTTAACTGAGAAAGTTGGTTTTCTAAATAAATTCCAGACCATCTTTAAAATAAATCTGCCCTGATGGGCATTCTGTAACTAGCAATAGAAAAGTACTTAAGCCTGGCTAAATCTCTCTTGCAAACTGTGAAGGAGCGGGATAGACTGGAATTGCCAGAGATCGCTTTGTAGTAAGCTTAATTAATTATTCTGTTCCTCTGGCAAAGTTTGATATAACCAGAGGCCAACCTATACAAGTTTCTTCTTGATGCTGTAACATTTGGCTCACTCATATGACATCTGGCACATTCCCTCAGAAATTTTCTGACACTATTTTCCCATCAGTATGCTATTTCCACTCCCACCCCCGATACCCCTCCTGAGTTTGATAAGTTTCATAAATGTTGCTGTCTAAAATTTCTGTTCATATCTGAATTATATAAACTTCAGAATGGAGATATTATAAACATTTACTGGTGAGAGTATCTCCAAAGCTATAGAACCAGTCTGGCAACATTTCTACCCATCGTTCATCTTTGACCCGAGGCAAGAGTGTTCTGCGTTGCATTCGTTTTATAACTGGATCGCTGGTTAGCCATGTTTAAGGGAAGAGTCAGGTTCTGAGTGTGCTTTTTATACAGCAGACACAATCTTTTTTACTTTTTAAATCTTTACTGCTCCAAAGTGATACAAGTCGACTCATATGTTAAAAAAAAACGAAGCAAATATAAATAATATGTAATAACTTATTAGACTTTTCACATTCAAAACTGCAGCCATTTTACATGAGATGTGATCTTTCAAACTCATTCTGGTTCTCTTGCAATTAAAACACTACAGTATGTGCTGGTGTGTGGCATTTGATTACATTACAGTCACAGCAGATACTGTGCTGTATTCATTAGCATGTGACCTCTAGAGAGGCTTTGCATATGAAAAAGCCCAAGTGGGCTCCAGCATTTACTACATCCAGAATTTCAGCATAGCATAGCAATTTAACACTCTTTAATAGGTTTGCTGGATTGCAATCCAGAAATCCCCCATAGCTTTCAGTCTGCTAAAGCCCATCTCCCTCCCCTGTTTTTTTTTAATTTTAGTTTTTTTTTTTTTAACAACTTGCTTAGAGTTCTGCTAACTGCTGCAGGTGAATTATAGACTAAACTGAGAAAACCATGGTAAATTAAAAAGTCCAAATGAAGTCTTTGGGTTGCAAAATGACAGATGGTTTTAAACCAGTAAGTTCACTTTCTTCTTGAATCTAAAATAGCTGAAGTTATTTGTGGTTTATCCTGTAATAAAATGTAAGTTCGTTGCTAACATGGCAGCTTCTTTTGAAATTCATGACTCCGGCAGAAGATCAAAATCCTGGTTCCTGTTTGTTTTCATCCTCGAGACATTTAGAATAAAACTGGAATCAGTGGATGTGGCTAGAACTGGCTGGAACTATTTACAAGGTCTCCTTTTCATTAGAGCTGCATTTTTATGGCTTTTGCGAATGCACAATGCCGTTATGTAGAAATCTGGAGGTAGATATGTGGTGTTCCTACCCTCAAAAGGGCAGAGAGTTATTACAGATAACTAAACAGCAATAGCAGTAGTAGCATAATGCTTTTATCAGGACATGCTAAGTTAGCTTCTATAAACTTTAGATCCTAAAATTCAGGTCTCAGGCTACTCTTAATGAAAATATAGTAACAGTAGTATCTCCTCAGCACATTGATTATGCAACATTTCTGGTGGATTAATTTGTTAAATTAGCCCCTGAAGGCAGGACAAGAAGCAATTGGCGAAAACTAATCAAGGAGAGGAGCGGCCTAGAACTACGGAGAAATTTCCTGACAGTTAGAACAATTTATCAGTGGAAAGATTTGCCTCCAGAAATTGTGTCAGCTGAGGGAACCTGGCATTGTTTAAAGACACTTCTGTATCATGTGACCAGTATGACTATATGCTGAGGTGCACAGAAAGCTGTTACCTTCCCACCAAAGTGGTATCTATTTATCTACTCCCATTTGCATGCTTTCGAACTGCTAAGTGGGTAGAAGCTGAAGCAAGTAACAGGACACACCCCCATTGTGAACCCGGTGTCAAGTTAGGTCGATTCTAGCTTTCCAGCTGACAAGCTCAACATCTTTAACTGCTGAACCATCACATCCCCTTATATTAATAATATTAATAATATTAATGACAAATTCACCATCAGTCCATCACAAAAGGCAGTTTTACTCAGAACCATTTACATCCTGCAATGATATCTATAAAACCATCAGACATTCACATCTGCCTATCTCCAGGTCCTTAAGAAGGTTTTAATAGGTGGACAAAAATGCCAAATCCTGTCTGAACATCTGGCTGACTGTATGATGAACCATAAAAATCAATCAAATATATAAAGGGAAGTGGTTGTAAATTATGATCTTGGAGAACTTTCGATATTTCTTGGGGGACGGTTGTTTTTATTTCTCAAAAACTCTTATTAATATTACATCAAACACTGAAGGGATTTTGTTTAGTTTTTTTCATGTACACAAAATAGTATCGTGTTTATGAGTGTGATCTTTAACATTTTGCCTCCAGTTGTGCTTTTGATATTATTATTATTATTTTATTCTCAGCTTGTCCATAGCAATAATCACCGGCTCCAAAGTGTAATGGGATGTTTAAATCCTTCCACCTTTTATGTGCAGGCAATGAATGCATCGTATGTTTAAAAGGGGTGGGGTCTTTTTCACCTGGTCATGTGCCCTTATTTGAAGCCAGCAACTATTTCTGCAAGTCCCCTGATTATTTGATCAGCATACACCCGGAATTCATATATATCTAAATTAATTATTTTTCATCACACTGAATTAGAACTGATAGGAAAATAGGCAGGACATTAGTCACAGGACATCATTAGTCACAGCCACGACTGATGGTGCCTCCCTGGATTTTTCAGAGTTCCCAGCCAGCATGCCAATTGGGAATTTTGGAAATAAGGTACCAGGCTGGGAAAGAATGGATTAGAAAGCCTCTGTTGATATTTATATGTTCAGTAATATCTACAGTTTTGTCATCTGTTGCAGCTGGATATAAAATCAATCCACAAAAAAATAGAGTTTCTGATCTGCTGAAATTGAAAAGATTGTTCTCTGTTTCTGTCTCCTTTATATTTTTAGCTTGTCCGAAAGGCACCTTCAAAGCATCGGCTGGAGATGCCCCTTGCAGTCCTTGCCCTACCCACAGTTATGCTTCCATCCCAGGCTCCAGTGAATGTGCCTGCCAGACTCACTATTACCGTGCTTCTTCAGATATCTCAGATGCCCCCTGTACCAGTAAGTATCTAAGAATAACGAGGATTGGCTTAGTTTGGTCCCTTTTCCTTTTATATCTTGGATTCTTCTTCTGGCCCAGTTCTGTGTTTGCTCCTTTTCCTTCAGGTTCTTCTATGATTACTTCCCTATGTTTTAGTTTCTTCCTCAAGTCCCTTGTTTTCTTTTTTGATGTCCCTAGTCCTGTTCTGTTACATTTTATGCATTAGAGAGGTTTGTTCCCCAAACTGTTCTTTTGAACTTCCTCTTGTACAGAAGCACGGAAAGAACAATGGTCTCCAGCCTTTCTAGGCTAGCTGCCTGTTTAAAGTTATGAAGAATAAGTGATTGCTGGGTGGGGTGGGAGAGAGGTTACTCATTCACAAAGTGGCTGTTCGAATATGACCTCAAGATGTACTTAAAAATGAAGATAGTGTTGGAAAGTGGTTTATGGTATTGCAGATTCCATTGGCATAGTCACATCAGTCTGTGACCTTAAGTACAGTAAAGTCTCAGTCTCTCTCTCTCTCTCTCTCTCTCTCTCTCTCTCTCTCTCTCTCTCTCTGTGTGTGTGTGTGTGTGTGTGTGTGTGTGTGTAATTGACCTTGCATTGCTAACATTCACAGGAATCAATATATCCACAGAGACTGTGGTGGTTTTCATCTTGATTCGTCTCTTCTGAGGATTTTGATCACATCTCTTTCCTCCTTTGTTATCTACGAAGCCATTTTCTGTTCACCATCAATGCTATTTGATTTCTAGACATAATTGTTAAAGTTAAGTAGAATGTCCATCAATCAGAGAATTGTCCACATTTTTAAGGAGAAATAGGTTGGAGATTAATTAATTCTAAGGTGTATCCTGATGGCAAGTATTTCGCGAACAGCCATGATTCAGTGACATTTGTTGTTTTAGGGATGTTTATATTAAATTTGTTTGTGTTTAAGACACATCAAGATTCTTTGTTGAAATTCAAGATATACTTAAAAAAAAACCTTTAAAAGCACAGTGAAGCAGAAACGTAGTGGAGGTTGCAATTAGATTCATATTCATGAATACCCAAATAATAATAATTGTTTGGCTTGGTTAAGCAATGGCACCTGGTCTAAATTGAAATCTTCCTTATTTTTATCACTCCACTAGCAAAATGAGGGGATTTTAAGAGGTGGGGAGGAATATAAAAGTTGGGTTTCCTGCTGGGGAGGGGGGGGTAGTAGTAGCAATTTTTGAAATCTGGAAATAATCTGTCATGGCTGTAGGCTGCTTTGGGGTACCAACTGTGCATTTTTCATTCTTGAAATTTGGGTTAAAATTGTTTCTTGGGAAAGATTTCTGTCCAGTTACATTTTATTTAGTTTGCTCCAGAGACAACGGTTTTCTATTTCAGTTTTTCAGGATTTCATTTTTCCCTGTTTTGTAGGCATCCCATCAGCTCCTCGGGATCTCAGCTATGAAATTATTGGATCCAATGTCCTCCTGACCTGGCGTCTCCCAAAGGATCTGGGTGGTCGAAAGGATGTTTTCTTCAATGTTATCTGTAAAGTGTGTCCGAATGGCTCTCCAGGGCCTTGTGTCCGTTGTGGGGACAGTGTTCAGTTTGAACCCCGGCAGGTGGGGCTGACCGAAAGCCGGGTGCAAGTGTCCAACCTCCTTGCCCGTGTTCAGTATACTTTTGAGATTCAAGCAGTCAACCTTGTGACTGAACTGAGCCCAAATTCTCCACATTATGCTGCCATCAATGTCAGCACCAGCCAGTCAGGTAAGGAGCATTTTATGTTGATTTATCATTGCTTATTTTAACCTCTTTTGTTCCTCTATTTTCCTTCCCCAGTCTTAATCTCTATTTTTTGCTGTGGATGATGATGAAATAAAACCAAAGAGAACAATGGGTTTCCACTAATAGTGTGGGAGCAAACTAGGTAGAATCTCAGTCTCACCCCATTTATGACCAAATATCAACCTTTTAGATAAGACTGTGAAGGTAATTTATGGGAAACAGAGATGGGTGAAATTGGTCAGAGGACAGAAAATGCTCATGTTTCTCTCCTCCTACAAAACTAAAAAACTTACCTTGGATCTTGATTTTGCAGCTGTGTGAAGTCACAGATGATGCAAGCTGCAGAAGCAAATCTCCATTTTCTTATTTTCCATATGGTCTACACCAGTGATAGCTAACATTTTTGTTGTTGCATGTCAAAAGCATGTGCATGCATGCTCATCCATAATGCAATGCGTGCATGACCCCCCATGCACCACACATTCCACACATATGCACAGAACCCCCATACCCCCGCATATCCATGCATATCCCCCATGCATTGCCCCACCCCTGTACATGTGTGTGACCTCTGCATGTGCACCACCCCCCACATGCGCGCAACCCCATCACCCCCTGCACATGCGTGCACATCTACTGCATGCACCCTGTGCCTCATGCATGCGCAACAGAGACCCAAAAACTAGCTGATCAATGGGAGGCGCGCACACATGTGCAGTGGAGCTGAGCTAGGACGACAGCTCACACGCCCACAAAGAGAGTTCTGTGTGCCATCTGTGGCATGCATGTCATAGGTTCGCCATCATGGGTCTACACTATGTTGTGAAAGGTGTCCACAGATGTATTTCATTGTGTATTTTAGAGATGTTGAGCCTAATACTGGGACATTCTTATCGCTTAACACTGGAGGAAAAGGAGAATTGGGGTGGGGTGCTGTACCTTTTTAAGTGGTCCAGGCAAGATTTCCAGGTATTTATAACCTTGCAAGATTTTCTAAGGATATGAAAAATAAATCTTGCAAGATTTTGAAATCCAATACAATTTCAACCTATATTTTAGGTTTCATAGGGCCATCTAGAAATGTCAGGGATGTCTATGAGCTCCCGGTGCCAGTACATTTGAGCATCTTTTATAGTTTGCAACACCATGTTCAGGTTATAATACTATGCACAGATTGTAATACTTCATGGAGCAGGTAAGTTTTGTCATCAAATTATTAAACGTAATTCATCAAAATGTTTCATTAATTTCTCATAGTTAATGGGACTTGCTACAGCATTGCAAGATAAAGCTTTCCTGTGTTGCCGAAAGCATGTATTCCCATGGCCTTTGATAAAACTTTTTATTTTGCTTCAATCCACTCCCCAAAAACTTGGCAAAAGGGAAAGAGCTTGCCTTTGCAATTCAGAAAAAAGATCTTTGAAGTGGAATATTTGGCTCAGTATAATGCTTTGAACATTTTAAAATCTATGTAAATACTGAATATTATTAAAGTCATGCTCTTTGGATTTACTGTCTCAGGCATTAGTCCCTTAGGACAACCAATCCCTTTAGATTCCCAGCCTAACATGCTTTTTCTTATTATTACTAAAGGTACTAAGATGATAACTGCTATTTCTACTTGGAAATTGTACAGCATTTTCACACGCTCAATATGCTTTATATAATTGTTCAATCATCCATATTATAGATGGGAAGATTGAGTTTGGGAGACAGTAGATTACCTAAGACAACTTATTGAATTTATAGCTAAGGTGAGATTGTAACCACTGAATTTGGTTTCATAGCTTAATCTGTTGAAAATCAGAGTGACTGCTGTCTTCTTCCTTTCCTCCCACTCTAGCACAGTCAGATGATGGCATGTCTGATTTTTTTTCTTTACTTGCTCTACAGAGGAGCCAACTATATCAGTTAGGAGATATCAGTTGCTATGAAAAATGGAACCTTTTATCAGATTTTGGCAGGGGGCTGGAGTGTCTGATGTAAGAATAAATAGCAATTTTGCTCTTTAGCTTTATCTAGCCAGTAGGTTTCTCCCAACTCATGTTATGGGGTAAAAGAATTAATTGGGAGGTTGGGGATTCATGATTACGATTGCCATAAATATCTGAGAGCCTCTTATCTGCGTCTTTATTTCATGGATAAATGCCACAAACAGCATGTGAAATTTAGAATCACGTACACCCGTATTTATTTCTTTATAACATTATATTCCATTCTTCTAATAAGTACAAGTAACTCAGGGTAGCTAACAACAATCAAAACCACCAAAGCAAAATTAAACTAGTTTGGTCTAGTGGTTAAAGTACTCTCTAGTCCCACCTTAGGCATGAAATTCTGCCAGTCACTCTCTGTCAGCCCAAGTCACCTCACACCTAAGGTTCTTGTGCAGAAATTAGGAGGAGGAAGGAGTATTAGGTATGTTTTCCACCTTATTTATGAAAATAATAAAGACAGAATAATAAATAATAAAGCATAAACAAATTTGAGAAAAAAGAAAACTCAAGTAAAATATACCTTGTGGGTAGTTTCACTGCTTTCCTTAAAAGGAAGTTCTCTTCTTCCCATTAATTAGAAATTATTCTATCCACCTTTTACTGTTTTTTGTTTTGCAGAGGGAAGAAGATGCACAATTATGCTTTGAAGTGCTGGCCATTTACATCTTTAACCCATGAACCACATGATATCCATGAAGATGAATAGAAGTTTAGAGAATAATAGCAAATTTATTTTTTAAATGCCCACAGTGATTCTGGGTAGCTTACAGGTTATAAAATAAATAAATTTATAAAATAAATTAAAAAAAATAGTTAGAAGTTTAGAAGATTAAAACAACACAAAGTTAAATTATTATTATTATTATTAAAAATAATATTAAAATCGAACTAAGAAAGCTAAGAACCGTCTAGGGCAAGGAAGAAGTCTTCTTATCCTGTCAGCTGCGTCCTCGCAGCCTCAGGCCAGCCTGCAAAGCCAGGTTTTGATATCTTTCCAGAGGGCCTAAAGGGAGGGGGCAGTTCTCTACCACTTTCAGTGGTAGAATGTTCCAGAGAGATGGGGCCACAACAGAAAAGGCTCTTCTCTTCCATCATGCTTGCTTAGCAGACTGGATCTGTAGCCGGCGTTTTCCAGTGGCGCAGGTGGAGCAGTCTTGTCCCATCAGAAAGAAACAGTTCCTCAGACAAATTGGACATGTGCCATATAGGGCTTTAAAGGTAACAACCAACACCTTGAATTGGATCTGATAAACCTCCAGGTGGCCTTACTAAAAGAATACAAATGACCAACTGTCTGCAAGGAGTATAAATCCTTCCATTCCCCATCACCCAGTCAGAGTTGAAGAATCTTCTTGGATAAGAAGTGAAATTTCTTCAAAGAAAAACTAGAAAGTCCAGTTGCCTCCTGAGGAAAAAAGCACTGTTGGGGCAACCAGAGCCTGGATGACTTGAGAATCTCCATAGACATAGGAGACTAACTGTATAAGACTTTGTACGATTAAACTGTCACCCTGAATTGCACCTGGAAATCTGTAGACAACAAATACAGGTGCAGATGTTAAATGACTCTTGCAATTTCAGTTAACACACAAAGAGGACACTATATTTGCACCAAGCTCAGGTTAGAGATGTGCATCAGCTACAGTGGAGAACTCAAAATAGAGATCTCAAGAATTTAGATTAAACACTGTGCACCAGATAACAGGAGCCTTAGCAGTTTAGCTTTAAAAATTAATTTAATTAATTTTAATTTAATTACTCTGGGAGCATAATTGTTGCCCCTACAGTTGAATATCTAATTACTTCATTGGAGGCTGTTTAGACACACTAGGAAAGGTCTGTAGAGTGGAAATTTCCAGGAAGAAGATGATCTGTATATAAATGTAAAACTATTGAAAAGTCTTCACCTGCTCAATCTTATAATTATTATCAAGCCAGTTATAGTAGTAATGTGGGAGTGATTAGCATGCCTCTTGATGAATGCAATCATGCCTGATTTTCACATGATTAATTGTAGCATTTCAGAATGTCAGTAGGAAGTTAACATATGAAGCCCATATCACAATCTGACTTGACAATCTACAGACAAGATTACAGCATTGTCAGTGTATATAGAATGGCTGGAGAAAGAGGGTGGATCTTAGTTTTAATAAGAGTTTAAGAGTAGAGTAGAATAGAATAGAATCTTTATTCATTTAGTCATTTGACCATATCAAAAATATAAAACCATTGATATAAATATTAAATAGAAGGTAAGAATATATTTAGGTTCTGACTGCCTTAAAAGTTGAAAGAGATTTGGTTAAGTCTGCATTATTTGAACATTGCAGCTACATCGCAGTGGCACTGTCATCATACCTTGATGTTTGATGTAGAACTTTCATAATTAATTGCACGCATTGGAAATCAATAAAGGAAGCTTCCAGTTGGCCACAGCCACTCACAAGGGATTGAATCAAATGCCACTTTCAGATCTATAAAAGCTGCATAAAGAGCCTCTCCAGGAGGGTTAGCATACTTTGCAGAGATGTGGTGCAAGATTAGTCAGCAATGAAAAAGCTGATCTGAAGCCAGCTTCTTCTACTGCTAAAAGTCTTTTCTTGAACTACCCAGTCAGCAAGATTATAGTAAATAAATTTAATATGTAATTTACTAATTATATGTAATAATATGATTAGATAGCAATGTCAGACCCGTCCTAAGAACAGCACAGAACAAACCAGTCAAAATTCAGGCCTTTATTTATTTACAACCCACAGACAGAAGCTTGCCAGACTAAATCTTTACTTACTCTCACCTCAACAGATATACCTTGGGAGATTTTAGGGAGTGGCTATCCTAATTCTCTTTCTACCCAACGTCAGGCTGTGTTCCTTCTGGTTTCACTCCCTTTTGGAATGTATTCCCTCCTTCCTGTAGAAATGCTGCTTCGTTACAGTCCATCACACGACCTCCCCTTCTACACGCACCAATCCCCAAACCCTC